CACACACACACACACCCTTTCCACAAGAGGATGAATCTGCCGTGATGTCCATTAGTGTCATTACTGCTCTAAAATCTGTAAAAGCTTTCTCAGTTGCTCTTTTTTTGTGTTGACATGGCATGAAACCCACCCAGGCATGCARTGCGTAATCTGACACATCAAGTTTACCCACTCCTGCCCAGTCTGTTTTACCCAGCATGCACTASAGGGTAGTTATCCACTTCTGCTCTCTTAAACTCCGAGTAAAATGCAGTACTTGGAGCTACAGTGAACCTCTTATCTCATTTCTCTAATATCACATTTAAAGTCCTCTGTGGCCACTGTGCTGCATGTCATCTACTAACTTTTTGCTCAGATGGGCAAAATGTAAAAAGATAATGCCATAGATCTGCTGACAAAGACAGCTCTTGAGTCTGTAAGTGGAATATGCATTTGTGAAAACTTTGGTCACCACTTTTTCTACATAGATTTATTTGGACACARAGTCACTGACTCAGCGCAGAGGTTTAACAGCATCACTAGTGAGGGCTGTTTTTAAAATGTAGGTGATGAAATGTTTTGGTTATAGTGATGAATCTACAATTTTTAGACATTCTATCAATTATTTCATAATTTAATCAAGCAGTTGCATGTCCTATGCTGTAAGATTTTTCCTGTAGTCCCTTGGAAGTATTTTTATCTAAAGTCCCTCCYYTCAGACCTGAAATACTGATCCCAYAGGGAAATTAAATATTGCATTTGTGCATGAATTAACAATTGAGTAATCACTGCCCATCATGGAAAGGTGGGTAATGTTTTTTGACTGTGTGTGTRTATTATCAAAATGTCTCATGAACCACAAGAGTCGCAAGATGTTTTTAAGAACTTTTCYAAGGTATATCTACAACCAGTAACTGCATGAAGCCAACTCAATTCCAGATGCCCACCACAGCTAATCAACATTAGCAAACACAAAAATACTGAGCTAAGATTGGATGTGTTAGTAGATGACAGTCAGCTCTAACTAATATTCTGTGTTGAAAAAATAAATAAATAAAAACATTCTATAACTTTGTAAGAAAAAGCTAACATGACATTTCTCTTGCTTACCTTCGTCCAGGGTTGAGATATTAGGATTCTTGTGACAGTCTTTTATAGGCTTTTGTTTTTATGGCTGTAAGGTGCTGAAGTCTCTGACAGGTARAAGGAGACGAATGAGAGAACAACCTCAAACTCTGTATTTAGATGGAGTGCAACAGCYTATAATTTGACAATTTCAAACTTTTTGTCTGTGTTCTCCGGAACTATTTCTTTGACGCTGAATCAGTTTGTGGGCAGGTGAGCTCCTCATTAGAACTGAGATATTGAGTGTCCTCCATGCTAGTTTTACAATAGATACCTGTRGCATTTTCAATATTTTTATATGATTTTTGTCTTTAGTTTTCGTTCTTCATCCATTGCATGCATACTGTAAGAAACATGTGCAACTAATTGTCCTAATGAAACACAATGGCCACAGAGCAGCATAAAATCATATAAATTAAACACAGTGTAAAATCATTGAGGACTTTTTGCAATCGAGCGTTACTTGTTTGTTTTGCCCTAATCGGGTCTTTTAGTGTCACGAAAACAGATGGTTACAATTATGGATGAGTTTTTTAGAAATATAACTCTACATCCTTTTTTTCTCCAAACAAAACTCTTGTATTGAAAAGCTTGTATTCAGAAACAAAGCCACTGCAATTTCACTGTTACAATACAAAAAATAAAAAATAAAAAAACAGTGCAAGATCCTAGTGAATATACAGTCATATTTAACTTCATGCTCCTTATAAATCATATAATTTTCTGCCGACTTTAATTTATTTTTTAAAGAAAAGGTTTTATTAAGGTTCTGTAGATTTATGTATACTACTAATGGAATTAAAAGTTCTGAAAGACAAATAATAAAGCAGAGTCAGTATTTTTTGCAAATCACTACTGAGTTGTCAGCAATTTRGAGTTAAGTTTGCTCGAAAGGATTCTAATAAAAACTCATTAGATGTTTTTTGACCAGTCATACCTCTGAGGGTTATAAGGATCTACCAGTACACATTTGCCTTCCCACCACCTTGGGCACACTGATTGATACTAGGCCAAACCAGTTAAGGACTGTGAACTGGTCCSCTGCAGCCACAAAACATCTGATGCTTGTTTTAACAGTGGACTCCCCAACTTATAGTATTTGCTGAAACTGAAACTAAATATCAGGAAGCTTCTAAGTAACTAGAATTTTAATTTGTCATGGATTGAAACCATTCTCTCCAAATGTTTTTGAGGATTTTTGTATAATGGGTGCAATGCATTATTTGTGTTATTTACTGTTAAAAGTAATTCATGTAGTAATTCAGTTGGTCTAAAAGGATGCAACACTGTTCAGATGTCAACCAATGKTTCAATAAATGCACCCGCTGTCATTCTGAGTTTTTGTCCCCCTTCTTGGTTAACAATTARACATTCAAGTGGTTACCCCACTTCAAATAGATTTTTTAAAGCTATGTAGGCACGACTTGCAGTATTTTACTAAATACTAGCTCTTCTTTTCCCCCATTTGTATAAATTGTCAATTCTTCTCACACAGAAAAATCAAACATGCATTTTAAGGCGAATCAAATCAAACTCACCTGGGTTTCACATCAAAAGAGAGGCACTTAAAAAATGAAACAGGTTGTCGGCTTCCCATGATGTCTGTCTGTTCRGGTGCCAGGCTCTGGAGAGTAAAACGGAGCATTGCCCGAGCTTTGTTCTGAGCCGTGGTGGATGCTGATTAGCTATGCTAACACTGGGCCATGTGGCTCTGCACTCCTGGCTCCATAGTAACTCCTTAAAAGTGGGTCTGATGGATGTACCTGAGACCCCTACACCCCTAAAAACTGTTCAAAACTATTGTTGAAATCATAGCTGATTTGAATGTGCAACAATGTTCACTACAACTTGTGTTTTTCTAATATGTCCTTTATTCTTTTTCTTTGTCGGTTGTTTCTTTCTGTTCGCAGGATGCCAAGTTTGTGGAGGAAAGGAGGAAACAACTGCAGGGCTACCTTCGCATGGTGATGAACAAACTGATCCAGACYCTGCCAGAGTTCACAGCCCACCCCACCAAGGAGACCCTGCTGTCTCTGCTGCCTTTCTGTCAGTAAGTGGACTCACACTGACATGTTTAACACAGACAGACGCCTTTGATGTGATCACGTGCTGTGTGCACAGGTGGTTATATACATTGGTGCAGTGCTTTGTACATCCTTATGTTTGTGAAATGTCAAGGCAAGGAATCAACAAGATAACATTGTCAGAGAAATTTAAACATGRGTAGGGGTACACCCTACTCTTCTTTTAACAAACTTTATAAGGAAATTTCATGAGTTCTCTTATTTTCTGTAGATATCTCTTCTATGCAAAAGTGAATGACAAACACCCAATAAGATGGGCGTACTCAGTGACTAGTTTGATCTTACAATAAATGCAATCATCCTTTTATAGAATCAAAACAAATCACTAATATACAGCTTATTGTGAGCTTAATTTCCAATAAAAGGTTTAACAACAAACTTTGAGGTTTAGATGTTAATGAACCATTTGTTTGTGGCTTTTTTCTTAAGTTTTGGCAGGGCAGGTTTAAGAGGAAAGAATGGTGGAGGAAGAGGATTCATTTTTAACTTTATCCTTTAAAGAATTGTGGATTTTAACCAGAAAGGGCATACATCTCTCAACGGATCCAGCCAGACACAGGTACACTCAGTAACAACATTACCTTGACCGAGGGTAGTTTCACCCACCATGGCATAAGTCGGAGGAAAGATTGTCCAGTTGGTGAAGAACTTCTCAGAACCTCATCCAGTTGGACACTTTCCAGGTGCTTTACGTTACTCCTTCAGCGTCTTCTGGGCTGCTTTTACTCAAAGATCAGAGATGAGGTGCTTCTCTGTATCCATCTCAAAACTAGAAACTTCCGCTAGGAAGTTTCAAAACAAAAGTTGCTCTGTGTGTACACTGCAAAAACTGTCCATCTTACCAAGTTTTAAACCCTTATATCCAGCCAAAAAGTCTTTTTTTCTTGTTTTGAGACTGATTTATTT